CACTATTGTTTAGAGGGAACTTCTAAATGGTACACAATGTTCAACCAAAACAACCAATTTCTCAAACATTTTTGACACAGAGAAAAGCGGTACGAGTTTCGTCAACGTAATACAAGCTGGTGCTGGTGAGCCTGTGAAATGCAAACTGTTCCAGAGTATATTGATATAAAGATGACGATGAACACGTCCTGGATTATTTGAAGCGATAGTACCGTAATTTTGAGCTTGCAATAACATTCGAATGTTGTCATCCCAACTAAGCAGATACCAACTGCTTATATAAAAGCAAGCAAGATGATCAATTTGGCTCACCAATGGTATATTCACAGGAACTGTGGCTGGTATGGCAGGTTGTTCATTACTATGGACAGGATCATTTGGGTGATGAGGCGGAACTACTGCTGATGGCGTGGATTCTGTAGCAAACGCGGTTGCTGGTTGTGGAGCTGATGTCGTAGACGGCAGTGACTCCTTTAATCAATGTTATTCCTAAACTGAGCATAAAAATTTTGCGTGGCACTTACCTCAGATGGTGAAGGAATAGCTGGAGCGATATGGACTCGACCACCAACTCGGCTTGCAGATGCCACTGATGTTAAGGACGTCGGTTCTGGTTGCGCTCTAGAAAGGAGAGATTTCTCGAACTTCTTCATTTGAGCAGTACGATATTGCCTTCAGTCCCACAAAAATGGGGATTCTTAGCACTGATCGAGTAACATCTCGGAAATGTTTTTCCAACAGCAGAATCGGTGTTATAAATGTAGCGTGTGAGAAGAAATTACAAAAAAAGGTATTGATAAAATTATAATATTACAGATGGAAGATGATCAATTACTTGACCCTATAAACGTTGCGTCTGTGATGAATGGTAGTAAAGAAAGGATCCAAGCAAGGCGACATCATTATAATAGATAATGCTCACGGCGGTATAGGGGGTGGAGTTGCAGGCAATGTGTCTCGGATCAGCTGCGGAAGTACATTACCCATTCGGCTAACGGTCATTTGATGCAAGCCGGGAACAGATGCAAAAAGTCCAGTGCTTGCCATTACAAGCAGCATGTTCTTTAGAGATTCTGGTACAGCCTGCAGCAATAAATCAAGCACATTCTCACATGAAAAAAAAA